TTAAATAGCTGGAGTTGACCTTTCCACACCCTCACCCCACACCAGGGACCCCAAACACCTCCTTCACCTCTCAGGGCTCACCAGTGTGTCCATGTTTTTAACCTCATGGGAGCCCTGCAGCAGCATTAAGACATGGGTTGCCCAGAGAAGCCGGGGCTGCCCCATCCCTGGAAGTGTTCAAGGCAGGTTGGACAGGTCTTGGAGCAACCTGGTCTAACAGAAGGTGCCCCTGTCTGTGGCAGAGGAATGGATCTAGATAATCTTTTAAGGTCCCTTCCAACCCAAACCTATCTTTGATTCTGTGATCTGTCCAAGCAGCCCCAGCAAGCTGAAAAAGGATCACATTAAACATGACAGCGAGAAAATACAAAAGCCATGAAAACAACCTGGCAAGAGATGGAGCACCCCAGCTGGGATGTGGGGAGAAGGCAGGACTTGGGCACTGTCCCCCTTTCTGGCTCATCTCCACAGAGATGTCTGGGGAGAAGATACAAATCCCAAGTTAGAAACGGATGCATCCACTTGGATACAACATCCTGCCTGTCTGCTGCAGGGCCAAGGTTCAGCCCACACTGCCCAGGAGTCTCCCCTTGCTCCAGCCATCTCCACCAACCCCTCATCTGCTGCCTCTCCCAGCATTTTTTCCTTCCTCTGTACCTGTCTGTGGGGACAGGCACAGGTTGGGGTGTGGGAAATCCACTTCCCATCAGCTGGCCCCGCTGGCTCTGGGTGTCACATCCTGGGTGGAAGCCAACACCCCACTGCAGCCCTACACTGTTTCTTGCTGGCCTCATCCAGCAGCTGCCAGTGTGTTGAGGGGTCTGGACAGCACAGGATGGGTGTAGCCAAGAAGGAAAGCAGAATTCCTAGACTGAGTGTATGCACCAAGTGGCACATGTGCCCTGGGTGCAGCTGGGGCCATGGCTGCACCTTGGCTCCTGCAAGCTTCCCTGCAAGAAGGGGAACAGCAGCAACAATTTTGAGTTGCAATATCTGCTGCTGGTATTTCTGCAAAGTCAGTTGTAGCTGAAGGGGGGCCAAGCAGCCTTCTCTGTGCCCCATGGTGGGGCAGATAGGAAACGTGGGTGAAATTTTGTATGAGAAGAAATGCCCAGGGGACATTCCTTTGCAAAGCCTCAAAGACATTCCGGAGAAAAGCTCAGTTCCTGGCCACTGCCAAAATTCTTGCAGCTGCCCCACACCATCCTCCAAGCCCCTGTGACAACAGAAGCTACATTGGTTTGTGGAAGGGCTGTGCACCCTTCCTCTGACTGCCAGTGCCAGTGCCTGGGAGCTGCCTCCTCCTGCAGCCCAGGTCCCTCCTCTGCCCCCGAGTGCTGCCACAGGGAGGGATGGAAAAGTCATTCAGCATCCCTCTGAGCTGCTTCCCTTCTTGCATGGCTGACCGCCTCCAGCACCGCGGGCTCCCAACCTGACCAAGGAGAAACCGGACCAAAACAAGCACTGTGGAGGCAGAGGGAAAGCAGCCAGCCCTTTTCTTCTTTTTTTTTTTTTTTAAGGGATATTGAAGACCAGAGAAGAGAGCCAGCACAGTGAAAAACAACCACGTGGGGACTGTGAAAATCAGAGCTGAGGAGAGGAAGATGGGAAAGGTCTAATAAAGAGAGTCACAATATACAAAATACACAAGCGCCCACCTCCGCCAGGAAAGCTGTGGGAAGGGATTGTGGTATAATCCCTGGCTGTTTGAGGCTGCCCAGGCAGACAGAGTCTGGATCTGCAACTGGATCAAGATTAGACCAGGAAAGCTTAGATTTTTTTGCCCTGTCAACCTGAAACAAAATGCTTTCCCCTTGCAGCATTTTTTTATTACATGGAGGAAATTAAGGGAGGTCAGTTGGCTGTAAGAGGATCCTCCAGCCTCAGGTAGCTCCCGACCACATCCACACACCATATGGAAAAGCATCTGCTCAGTCCCAGAAAAATTCCCCAAGTCAAATCCATGCATTCAACAACCTCAGAGCAAAACAAGTGTGAGCTCCCTGCCCACACGTGGCCCCATCCCCAGTACAGGGTCTGGGGTTGGAGAACAGCTGGGTGCGGTCACTGCTGCCATGGAGGTTTCTCTTCTTCAACCTGTACAAAGTTGTCCCAGATCTGTCTAGCAGTAAGTGGGGACAGAATGAGTGACAGAGGTTATCTATTGAAGGGAACAAAGTCATTAATTACCCAGATAGGTTATGTTAAACTTGAGGGCTGTGTCCTCCCCACCAAGACATTGTTGGAGAAGCCCACTGTGACCTCCAAACTCAAAAAACACAATGCCAAGGAGCAACATCTCACAGGTAGTCACACCCAGCCCAAGTGATCTGAAGTAGCTGCTCTCCAGTCAAATGAAGCTTGTATTTCCTTATCATTTGCTGTAAATACAGCTGTGCTGTTTTCCTGACCATGTTATTTCTAGAATCCTTATCACACGCTCTCAGATAGCCACAGCACAGTCACACACTTCACAATCTTCTTTTTCTCCTATTCCCAGCTATTCCAAACCATTTCTGTTCACAATCCCATCAGTTCAGAAGTTCTTCTATGGCAATGGGTGACACCGCCCTGGAGACCTCCACATCCACACTGAACAGGTCAGCAAATGAACTTGTCTTCCTTTTCCCCTTCTGTGCCATGCAGGGACCTGACTCCCAGACAGGGATGAACTCAAATGTCACTTCTGATAAACATTTATTTTGCTGAGGAGCACGGTGTGTGGTGTGTTTATAGGCAGTGAAGTGGGCAATTGAGAAGCAACGGGCATGCGCCAAGTCTTGCGACATTCTGACGCTTCTGAATACCTTGGTCTCCTGCAAAATCATCTTGTCTGGTCCTTGGGGCATTTTAAACACCAGGGAAAAAATGCATGGAAGAAAAGGACTCCCAAGGTCTTGTCCTGAAGAGAGACCACGCTGAAACGTGGTCAGGTGGCCTGCACTGCACCAGCCTGGAGACCAAAGGGAAGTACCCTGGAGCAAAGGGTCTAAGAGGAGACAACAGCTGGCTGAAGGTGCCTTGGTTTCTGTCCTGCTCCAAGGCAATCAAAACCTCACCTGCCACAACATCAGCTTTAGACCATGGTTTCATTTCCCTCAACAGATTAGCTGATGGGTGGGGGAGAATTTTATATATAGTTTATCCATAGAATATTTGACAAAGACAAGCAAGTTTGACAGGGAAAAAGGAAGCCTCAATCCTTAGGAGAAATTTATTATTATTATTATTGTCCTCCTAAATCAAAGCTGTTACTCAGCAATACTATGAGCTTAATGGAATGAACAGGCACCTAAGATTTATGAGAAATCCAGCACAGATTGCTGCCAAAGCTTCCCAAGGAATGTGGCTATCTGTAACCAAGTGTTATGATCTCGATGCTGAAATACCTGGGCATTTCATCTATCACACAAATGGTGTAGGAGGGACATTCACATGGCCTCAGAAAGGAACTAATATCTTTTTTCTCTGCTCTGCACTCAAGTTCAAAGTTTCCTTCTTCAAGCTGCCTCAGAAACACCAGGAGGACATTCACTCCTGTGGTTTTATGGCATTTATTTGTCAAGCCCAGGCAAGAACTTAAAAATGGAGGAGGGTTGTGATTTGTGTTCCCATTGAAGGGAAAATGTTGGTATTTAAAATGAGCTGAAGTCAGTTTTGATCTGCTCTTTTGAGAAATGATACTTAGAAAACATTTTATTTGTATCATCTTTTAAATTTAAACGAAAATTGCTCCTGTTGTTTATTTCTGGGACTAAAAAGAAAGTCCAACAGTCCTGATCTGGACTAGTCAAATTAGGCTTTTTCCAATGTTCTACAGTTCTGGATTTTCCACCACAAACCTGTAGAACTTTAACTCTTGCTTTTACAAACTGCTGTGCTACAAATTCATTTTAGTCTGGCAAGAGACTGTGTGTGTACAAGAATAAATACAACGCTTTTGAGACCTTACCTACAGCAAAGACAACCCCTTTGTAATTTTATCCCCCCTTATCCCAACTGTTGGCCACATTTAAGTACCCTTTGTTAAGCACACTGCCAGGTACTGTCACACTGGACACGAAGGAGAGCCAAAGGGGAAACAACTGAAAATGGAAATGCTACTTTCATGTGCTCATCCAGACATAACTTCCCCTGCCACCTTCTTGGCAAAACAAGTTTCAGTCACCCAGTTTGAATATACAAATTCAAATTCTGCCAGAACTTCAGCTTTGGATGTGAGTGGCAGCTGGCACTTCTCTATTTTTTTTTCTAGTCAAATGCATCAAAAGACAATGAGGAAGGCTGAATGATTCATACCCGTGGAATGAAATGCCATTCACAAACGTTTTTTCCATAGCAATTTGTCACTTATTGTATTGAAACCACTTCAGAAGATGTGTCTCAAAGAGCCTTTTGATATTAACATGATTAAAACCATAATGCAATTAGGCAATCCCATAATATTTCTGTATGTTATATGAGTGGGACCTCAAGTGACCACTTCATTCAAGCCCCTCATAAATGGCTGCTTCTAGCAGAAGGCTGTTAATTCTGCAACATGCCTTGGATAGTTGTAGAACACCAAGGAATTCAAATCTTCTCACCCTAGAGGCATTTTGGCTCACCAAAATTCAGCTTTGGTGTTGGATCTAGCCTACATGTCTCATACCTTCCAATATCAGGCAAGAAAGATGAATTTCCCAAGAGCCTCTCTGCCCAATTCAAAACTGATATCTAAAATCAGTGGGAACATTGGCCCTCCAGATGTGTCCTTCTCTCTTGGCTATCAGGACATCCACGTGGATCTCTATCCCTTTTCCTGTTGTTCCTGTCAGATGCTGGCACCAGGCTTGTTGCCCACATCTCCATATCAACTTCCTGTATTTGAGCAAACTGTTATGTAAGTACACAGAACTTTGCATTCACACAGGAGACTGCCTTCAAAAACCCTTCAATGAGACATAAAACCAGAGAAGTTTTTGTCACTTTCCACAGTGCCAGCTGTCCCAGATCCCTACCTGCCGGGCAGTTGCATCGCTGGTGTGTGTCTCGAACTTCTCGATGTCTTGGCAAGTGGAACTTTAATTTCTGCCAAGAGAGGAAAAACAGAAGAAGGATTAATTTATACCATTGAAACCAAAGCCTCAAATTCTTGAAAAAGTGGAACTGGGAGGGGATGCTGCCCAAGTAGAGATGGGAGAGACAGGGCAGAGCAGTTTGGGAACGAAAAAAGGCAATAAAGTTCATAGCCCTTAACTAGAAATGCAGGGTCTGATTGAAAGCAGGCTGAGGGAGTTTCGTAATGGCCTCCAAATGTGGTCCTCCTGACAGGCATTACAAAACCAAGAGCCAGCAGTGGCAAATAAATTGGTGACTGTGTCCTCGTGACAAAGCCACATTCCTCAGAAGACCCACTCAGTGGGCAGAAAATGAAGATCTGAAGCAGGTCCTCTTCCACCCTGCAGCACATTCCTGATGTTCTTGGAGACACCTGGATGGACAGAAGGGTCCCTCTGCAAGATTGTGGCTGAAGATGAACTGAAAACATCAACAGCATCCCCTGAAATCTTCAGACTCTGTAAAACTTAATTTTTCCCCCAAGGGCAGAACACAACAAAACCTATCAAGAGCTTCCACAAGGTGGAATCTTGTCAGAATGTTGATTTCATATATGAGTTTGGATTTCTAACGGTGCCAGTGTGTCAGTCTCCTGCTCTCTGGGTCCACCTGTGCATCTCTTGAAGGACAAATCAAGTCCACCTGAGGTCACTGCATCTTCCCTCCCTGGGAACATCAACAAAATTAACCCATGTCCTGAGAAAAATGTGCTTCAGGGGTAGCATCCTCACCACCCCTCACAGGCTTTATAAAATAGCTGTAATTTAGTTCAGAAAATGCAAATCAATCCAAATAGGTTATTTATTAATGCCTGCGAACCACACTTGGTTAATGATTTGAGACCACTGAGCTGCTGGGGTTCCTAAGCTCTGGAATCACTCTCTCTTCCCATCCCCATTGAGCCTTTCTATTTTTTGAACTACTTCACATATAGGCCAATATTTCAAAAGAAATAGCTTTACATAGAACACAACAGAAACCCGTGCCCAAGATAATATAGAAATTGCTTTATTTTCACAAGTAATTGAGTATCTTCCTGCAAGAAAGCATCAGTTTGGGGGAAAATTCTTTTAGAGAGGATAAAAGTAAATCAACTTGTTTCTGCCTGGGATGAAGGAAGGCAGAATTGGCTGGAACATTTCCATTTTTTCACTTTGAAAGGATTGGCTTCCTCTTTGCAAGTCAGAGGAGTAATGGTTGTTGTGACTGACTAGAAATTAAATATTTTCAGAGCTTTATTTTGCATGGTAGATTGAAATGTTTTGATAGCAAGTTGATTTGATAGCAGGGTGAGGAGAGGGTTTTAGGCAAGGAAAATTGCCAGTTCCCATAGAGCATTTCATTGGTGTTTACTTTCTCAGTTAAAAGCACAGATACTCTGTGAATTTCTGCATTTGGGCACCTTCCCATCCTGCTGCCACCCCAGATGGCACAGCTCTGCTCTGGCTTCCAACTGCTAGTGGTCAAACATGGGCACAAGCAGGACAGCAGAGCCTTTATTTGGATACTCACACTGCTGTGTGGACACACACAGCCCCATTCCCATCCACACATGTGCGAACCAAAACGTCTCCAACACCACACTGCCACATTTGGGTGGAGCTGTTTGGAATTGGGCTCAGACAAGGAAGGGATGATGGTTTGCAATGGCAGGAGCAGAAAGCCATTTCCTAGCCAACAAGTGTCCAAACACCCTGCATGCAACAGGGGCTTTACAGGACACAAATCTGCAAGGAAACATGGAACAGATCCCTGCCCCACCAAGGGCAGAGGCACTGGAGGGGCTGTAGGGGGGAATGGCTGAGTTAGGCTGTGCTGCAGGAAGCCTTGGCTGGGTTGCTGTGCAGGCTTACAAAGAGAGGAGCAGCATAACTGGACAGGGAAGTGATGACCCAGCAGGACTCGAGCATGACTGGGAACGGAACAGGGCTGATAACATTTCCCTGAGGCTTTATCTGCAGGGTCAAGGTAGTGGAAAGACCTGGGACAACTGAAATAGCCTTCTCAAGGACAGGGGCCCCTGGGGAGGGAGGTGCTGGTGCTGCTGGGCAGGCTGGAGCACAGCCCTGTGCACCATGAGCATGCAGCCATCACTCACTTACCAGCCTTTGGACATTCTGCCCCATCCCTCGTGTCTCCCTCAAGCCCAAGAGCTCTGCACACCCCTGGGGAGTGCAAAGGGCACTGGTGCCATGGGACTGCTCCACTTTAGTGGGAGGTAAAACCTACCAGGGATTTAGGAGCGTCTGGTGTTCATTCTCCTGCACAGTCTATTAAACAAACACTGCCACAGAAAAAAAATCCTTGGCTCTTGGAGACCTCAATTCAACTTTGGGTGGAGATGGCAAAACAAAACAAACCCCCCAGCCTTTTCTGCTTCCCTCGTTTCCACTGTGCAAAATATTGCCTGGTCCAACACAAGAAGCTGGTTTTGTTCAGGACAGCAAACCAAATGTACTTCCCTCTAAAAATGTCATTTCCAAGAGAAAACTTTCATTCCCAGGCAATAGAAAAGCATTCAATTTTAGGGCAAGGTCGGCTTCTATATGCAAAATTTAAAAAGAAGGTTGGCTCTGGGAATCTAGTGTTTGCAATCTCCTTCCTGGGATCTGGGGGAATTTTTTCACCTGGGGGATACCTGGAGCACATAACATCAAGAGCAGCAATAGGCTGCCTTCCAGAAAGGTTGAAAACACTTCCTATGGAGGGCATTGCTTTGTCAGCAGAGCCTGCTCTCGTCTGTCACGTTATCCAGTGACATAACAGCTGCATCTTCCCCCTACACCAGGGCAAGTGGCTGAAAAAAGCCTTTGCCAGCACTGGAGCCACAGCTGATCACCCCTCCCTGCAACTCTGAGGATTCAGGAGCCACGGCACATTGCTGAGAGAGGGGAAAGGGAAAATCCCGGCTGCAAGAGGGCAAGGCCAGGAGGGCAATGCTGAAACACCTGCTGGGAATGGGCACTGAAGTCAGCATGGGCTTTTCCCATGGGTTTTGTTAACTCACCACAAGTGTGCCAGGACAGGGCTGACATGGGTGGGCAGAGCAGTGACAGCAAGGCCACTTCTGACAGTGAAGTGTCATTAGGCTGTGGTCTCCTAAACCTTGCAGTGCCTGTCTATTTTGGATGGGCACTTGAGATTAGGTGAGAGGGAGGGCACTTCTTCAAAGGGGGCAGATTAATAGCTCTTTAGCATTCCCAGTTGTTTGCAGTCACCCGGGGAGGTGAAATCATTTCCCACCACTATCTCCAACAGCTAAGAGAAACACATTTTAAATAGATAATCTATTACAACCATCAGGAGGATTTCAGGGGTGGGTGGTTTTGTTAACTCTTATTGTTTTACCTCCAATTTCCCCGTTTTTTCTTAAAGGCCCAGCTCCTGGGATCATGGGACCATGTGGCACAAAGCAAAAGAGAGCAGCAGGTCCTCCCAGATGGAGCAAAAAGCTTGGAAATAACACCACCTAGGTACAGGGATTGCAAGCAGCTGAAAGGAAATGGAACTCAGCTACCAGAGAAGCTGAAAGAAAAAAATAGATCCCCTGATTGTGGGGCAAAGAGCACTAAGCTAAAGATGTAGGCAGGGATGCTTAGAGCAAGCTTGCAGACCCTAGGAAACAATTGTGCAGTGTGCTCTGAGATACAGAATAAAATGAGGGGGGAAAAATGTTTCAAGTCAGGAGGGAAAGAGTTTTCTGGTGTCCCTCCTTTGCTTGCATAAGTAAGGAAAGAGTTCCAGGGAAAGCAGTGAGGATCAGTGCTCCCTCCCCATTCACAGGCACGTTCCTGAATCCCTTAAGAGTCACTGAAACCACAACAAACACCTTCAACACAAGCCCCTGAGAAGGCTGAGGGGCAGCTGATCTTCCCCCAGGGTGCACAGGATAACCTGCTGCTGCATCACACATACACATTTCTATCTCTACAAACTCACAGATTCTGGGATTTCTTTTTCCTTGCAACAGCACTGAATCCATCCCATTCTCCACTCTGATGAGTTTTTGGCAAGTGAAGTAGCACCAAGTGTTACCCAGCATGGGAAAGGACCTTGTTTTCTTCTTTGGAAAGCTTTACCTCTCTTGCAAATGCCAGGAGTGAGTTTATTTGTGCTCCTTGTATGATTTTATGATGTCTCATAAATGCAGAGGAATTCGAATTCCTACATGGAGTTAAAGTTCTCCCTGTACTACCTGCTTCTGGCCCATTCTGCACAGATGTTTTTACAAGAAAACCGAGTCAATTTGAGTCTGGTAGAAAATTCCCTTGTGGCATTCGCCTACACCAGGCAGAGGTTTACACAGTAGCAAATACAGCACTGGTCAGGCTGCTTCTGGGAAAGCATCTGCCCCCTCTCCTTGCTCCTCCCGAGCTGAGATGGAAACTCTGCCACAGCCAGCCACCAGTGCTCAAAAACCAGGCTCTGAGATGGAGAAAACATCCCCACCAGCTGCCTTAAAATTAACATCTTAAGCAAACCACCCCAGCTCCTCTCCCTGCCACTTTGCTTTATTTTTGCATGTCTAGAAGAAAGGCCTCTAAAAGGACTTTGGTAATTTGCACTTCTCAGTGTAATATGGATGGTGACCCTTGGGAACACCCAGGACACACCTGGGCACACTCATGACCCACACTGGAGGGCATTACACACTCCAGCTCAGAGCAGTACAGGTTTTGAGCATAATCTTAGAGCTCCTCTATCAGCCCTCACAGGCTTTACTTATTCACATCCCTCCAGCTCATCTTCACAGCCACCAGAGCTAGAAGTGTGCTGTGCCTTCCCCCCCACCTCTGATCAGCTTTGTCTAAAGCTGGGGTTCCTTTAAAGCTTTGCTGTTTTATTTTGTGATGGATTCACTGAGCTGGCAGCTGTGAAACCCATTAAGGTTGAAACACCAGGAAACGGTGAGGATGTGGCAATGAGAGGCGGTGAGGGTCTGACTGAGCAGGGGGAGATGAATTTCCCACTTCCACGTCCATCACAACAAACCCATCTGCAGCCCCTCTCCCCCATCATGGTCAGCACGACTTATTTTGCTTTCCTTACTTTTTTTTCTCCCATCCTTTCCCTGTTCCCTTTATCTACCTTGTTTTCCTCCATCCTTGCCCCCTCAGTCAGTCCTGGGCCCCACTTCAGACAGAATGAAAAGGAGGACCAGAAGGATTTTTCTTTCCTAATCAAAAGCCTCACATGGCACCCCACCATGTCTCCACCAGCAGCCCCTTGCCCTGCACCTCGAGCTGTTTGCTCCATGCCAGTGCCTCTGGCTGAGTGTGCAGCTCTGAGGTTTAGATGCTTAGCACAAGTGGGCAGCACAGCTGGCAAGGGTGTTCTCCCTGGGGGACAGAGCCCACCTCCCCCACAGGCATCAGACCTCCACAGGTATAAAGGGACAGGAGATGTGGGCCACACATCCTTCCTCCTCCACAGTCTCCAGCACTTTTCTCCAAGCTCTTTTAGAAGTTGTGGCCCAGGATGGAGCTGGTAACCCTGGTGGTACTCAGGAGCAAGTGCTGGCCCCTCAAGCAGTCATTCCTGTCCTACAGCTGCTCTCCACCCTGGCTGCAGTGGGGACTGTGGGCACTTCCAGGAGCACAGGAGGGGCTGCTCTGGGCACATGGGCATCATGAGCCCCCGTTTCCTCGCTAAGCCGAGCTATAAAAAGGTGTAAAGGTGTCGCTTGCCAGCAGAGCCAGCAGGACACACAGGGCCATCCGGCCCCAGGCACCATTCCCGGGAGGCACTTCTCAAATCTCAGTAAACTCTGACTTCCCAGCAGATTCATGCCAGCAGCAACAGAGGGAATGCTGCACTATCCCCTGCCTGGTAGCAGGGAAGGAGTCCCTGCATGAGAGTGCAGCCATAGGGCACAGATCCAATCACTCTAAATGCTTCTGCCTCCCCAAACCCCTTTTTAAAGTAGGATATTGCCCCATGGACCCTGTCTTTCCCTTATTCCTCATCCAAAGAGGCAACTCAAAACCATATCCTTCAGCTCCTGCAGTGTTTGCTAGCTCAAGGTTCACAGCTTTTGGCTGCACAGCCCAGCAGATCCAGGGAGTGCTCTCACAAGACCCATAAACAGAAGCAGAGCCTGTCAGCTGTAGGTTTGAACTCCTCACCACAGACTTTCACTGCTCCTAGAAAGCAGGAGGGGCTCCAGGTCACCCCAGGTGCCAAGCAGCACTGCCCAAGGCAGGTCCCAGTAGCCAGCACTCTGATCATCCCATTCCTCACCTCATCTGGCAATAGCAGCCCAGAAGAGATTTTTTTAAACTACAAACAGTTTTTGGGCTAGCCCCAGGGATCTCTCCAGCATGACTCAAGCCAAAGCTAGAGTAAACAGAGAAAAGGAGAGGTGGGTGGAAACGGCTCCAGCCCTGAATTTCACCCCCAAGCCTCTCCTAGAGCTGTGGGAACAGGTCAGTGGGGACCTGTCTGGAGAGTTCAGAGACATGAGCCACCATCTGCTCCCTGACACATGTCAACACCACTTCAAAGCCCAACAAGGCAAGGAATACTCATCACAGCCAGAGTAGAGGAACACAGACAGCCCCCAGCAGCACCAACACAGCAAAGTAAGAGGTGTCAGCAACAATAATCTGCACTTTTGGACTCTCTTTAGTGACCTGCTGAAACCAGCAGCAGCATTCCCCCATCACCAGAGGAGAGCCCACAGTGTCCAATGGAGTTTGGATGGGACTCAAGTGAGTATAACACAGCCATATGCTCTGCACTGATGCCCTGGCAGTACCAGAAACCATCCTGGCAACACCAGTGCGTCTCATTTTCCTGAGCCAGGAGCTGTGGAAGGGGTCAGGGCTGGTACAGCACCAACACCAGCCCATCACAACATTGGTGTGCTTGCAATTACCTCCTCCCATAGCCATGCTGGCTGTGACATGCCTTGCCTGTCTCCCTTCCGGGGCTCAAACCCAGGCTGAATCCCCAGGTTTAACCTCTAATTCTAACTCTTTCAGCATGCAAGACTCCTGAAGAGAAGGGCTGGAGGTTTTTGCCTCCCCAGCAGGGTAAGGGATTGGGTTTTCCTCTTTGCAAAGTGCAGGCTTCAGCTACAGCATGGGCTGAGAAGAGAGAAGTGAACGCCAAGCAAGTTTGAGAGGTGGGAGGGACCTGAAGGAACAGGGAATTCAACCTAGCAGCAGCATCACTCGTGAAGAGATACACTTTTAAGGAGGGGGAAAAAATGGATAATGTGACTATGCAAGCATGCATATGCCTAAAACCTGTAATACTACAACCTATACATGCAAAATGAAAGAACACTGACCTCATTGAGCAGTTGGTCAACTCTTCCCAAAATAGCTGTCTCCATTTGGTCTGCTGAGAGCCAGGCAGGGAGCTGTGTGGGTCTGTCTGCTTCCAAGTGGGACACGCGGGACTGCAGATCGGAGGTCCGAAAGTACAGCAGGAGGCTGAGCACCAGAGAGAGCAGGGACACGCCGGGCAGCCCCGAGCCCAGCAGCAGAGGGAGGCGGCAGCATCGCTCCCCATCGCCGCTCCTGGGGGGAGCCACACACCCCCTGTCAAAAGCTGCTTCGTCGACGCCTTTCCAGCTCTTCTCCTCCAACATTCCCTCCCTGTCCTGAGAAACAATAAATAAATAAATAGAATAAATAAAGCTTCGCTCCTACTCCAAGACGCGCAATCCAGAAGGCATAAGAAAAAGAACGTCGAAGGGAATCCCAGTGCCAGCAAATCACAAGTGACAGCAATAATGACAAAAGTGGATGGGGGGGTGTCTTTAAAAAATAAAAACAAACCACACACACATAAAAGGGGTGCAGAAAAAAGGGATCCAACTGCAGCAAAGAGTGCGAGGGGGGAAAAAATAATCTGATCAAGATTTCTTTTTTTTCCTCCTGTATTTCAGTCTTTTGGTTCGCTGGTAAGTTTTTGATTCTTTCTAAGCTGTCAGTTTCAGTTCCTTCGCAGACTGGCCAGGAGCTCGCACATGAAAGTCCCCATTAGAGAGAGGTAATTCTCAGCTGCTCCGGCGACGTTGTGCTCTGGCTGATCGTGGCTCCCCTGTAACATGACACACTCCCTCCGAACTACGGGGCTGGGATGAGCGAGCTGCGCGGCTTCCCAAAGTAACCTCCTCTGCTCGCCCTCTCTCTCCACCTCTCCCTTGCTGCATGATTTATTTATTTATGCAAAGCGCCGGGGTGGGATCGGGCAGTGGGACGCCCCTGTCCCGCTCGGTCCCCAAACCACCTCTCCGCCGCCAGCCCTTCCCTTTGAAGTGACTCTCGCCGAGGTTATTTATAGTGGCAGGAAAGAGATTGTAAAGCAGAGGCTGGGCTCACACCAGCCTGCGTCTTCCTTTCCTCCAGGCAGCCGGGAGCACTTCATGGGATGGCACAAACGGGCTGTGGCGTCCCCCACGCAGATCCCGAGGCAGCCCCGAGGCACCGGCAGTGGGGGATTTGGAGCCCGATATTTTGAGGAGAGCAGCCAGGCAGGGTGAGAAGCAGAGGGAAACATCAGGAAACAAGAGCTGGCAGCTGAGGGCTCTGCAAGAACAAGCGAAGGGCAGCAGGGAGAAACACCCCAGGCAGGCTGCAGTGCAAGGGGGGAACATCTGGGGCCTGACTTGGGGGTATACAACATGCCAAGGGTGCTCAGAGGAACTAATCTGCTGAGGCCCTCTAGTGAAGCAGAGCTTCCCATCATCTGCGTGTCCCACCAGGCACAGGGCACCAGACAGACAGACAGACAATCCCCCTTTGGCAGGGAGCAGTCTCCCCAAAACGTGCCGTAGGGCAGCTCCGAGCCATGAGTCTGGGAAACAAAGCCTCCTTCTGTTCTTCAGCAGCAAGGGAGGGCCACCTCTCCCAGTTTTTCTGAGCATAACATACAATATTTTATCCTCCAGGGTGACATGCAGGCTCTGCTGAGCCCCTGCCTGTCTGTCTGTCCGTTCTTTCATCCTCTCCTTAGGCACGCTCAGCAGTGAAGCAGCACAGAGCTCACCGTGGTGCACAGTCATTAAAAGCCAGGCAGCAAATTGGTCTCTTAAAATCCGGCTCCCTTGTGGCTCTTTTGCTGTCATTTACACGTTTTAAATGAAGATTTTGCGTGCAGTCTGTGCTGGAAATTAACTGGCAGAGAAAACTCATATTCATCTCTGGCCTGGTCTCTGTTTCAGGGGGCTGGAAGAGCCAGACCTTCTGGGAGCAGGTTAACGCAAGCACGAGCTGTTTCTCCTCCACCAGACAAACCCTCAGAGGGCCCGGTAGCACACAGCCCCAATTCTTTGGATGGCCTCATGCCTTTCACAGCCACTCACTTCCCAAAATGGGGTTTTAGCGTCTGCGAGGCAGGAAATCCTTTCTTTATTTCTTTTAGTGGGTTTCTTGTCATCTTGCTGCTCAAATTTGCGTTGCTGTTCTGGCACGCAGGGAAAACACCCCTCTGATGGCTGCAGCCTTTCAACAGTTTTTCATATGAGTGGGGCAGAGATGTGTAACCCACAGACCTGGCACACAAAGGGTGTCTATTCATTCAGGAGGTGTAGCCACCCTGGTCTCCTACCCCCTGTGTTTGCAGCCTACTTCTTTACAAAAGAAAAACAAGTCTTTGAGGCTCTGGCTCCATGGGAGTTCCCCAAGATACCACCTGCAATCACAGCAAATAAGTAGACAGAGAGAAATGAAAGGGAGATGCCTAGAGGCTGATGATACAGTGTTTGAGAAGCAGAGATCTTCTCGGGAAAATACCAGTTAACAACTGGTGCTGAGTGTCCCAGAGAGTGCTGCAGTACACTAGGCTGGGGTTGAACTACTGATGACTGCAGCTACCTGCCTGTGTAATACAAAGTTTCACCTAAAGCTGTCTGTCTCTCCCCCCTTTATACCAACCTAAGCACTGAAATCACAAAAACGCACCCTCTAAGCTAAAAATGGAAATCTGCTGGGTGTCTACATCTCTTTTCCCGCCACTGGCTGGGAAGAGCTTTCTACTCTTTTGCTCTGTTTTTTGATACAGATCCTGCTGTCCAGACATGAGCATCGCCTGAATGACTCTCTAAGTGTCTTTTCCTGCCTCCCCCCAGCCCCTCTCCAGCTGATCAGCTCATTTAGAGGGCATGTCATAGCTGCTGCAGGCTGGGGAGCTGCACTCACACGGGTTTCAGGCACAAGCCTTAGCTGCAGATGTGCAGGAGGGTAATTTTTCTATCCATGAGATATTAAGGAGCCCTGTCATCCCATGCCAATAGAGATGGATTAATTTAGCCCCAAACCTGAGCCAACTGTGCATGTCAAGTCTGCAGCACTGCTCAACAAAAAAGCTGCCTCCAGAGACAGGCCTGGCATGTGGAATCATCTCAGCACTCTGGGTTGAGCACAGCCCAGAGATTTCAGCTCTCTCAACGGGCTGAAAGGAGGTGAGCGCTGGCCTGAAACCAGTCCCCCTGCAAGTTCCTGACTCTCAAAGCTGGTGGAGTAGAAACAAATACTCACTTGCAATCAGCAGTCATTTCACTGACTAGTGACTCTCAGAAAGCCCTGCAGACACTGAGCTTGAGGCTGTATCCCTCTTTCCTTGGGGAGGCTGATGATATTCCTTACAAGGACAGGAACCACACACTTCCATCGCTCCTATCAGGTCCTCCAGGGTGTTTAGGGATCTCAGCACAAATATATAAAGAACTGGACCAAACAGAACTCACACATAACCTCCCAAAGCAGCCAAAACTCCTCTGTACAATGAAAATGTTTCAGTGGGTCAATTGATCAGTTACAAGCAGGTGTGGCAAGACTCCAGCTTGGTCAGTCTGGAGCTGGCACAAGCACTTGGTCTTTCTCAGGGACATCTGTAAGTGGGCAAAGCACCCCACAGAGTTTGCCCAGCACTGCTCTACAACAGACACACGGTGCTCACAATACGTGGGGATTCCTCACGTGGCACAATGTGCTCTCATTGCAACAGACCACAAACTCTCTTTGACCCAAGGCAGGCACTGTGGATGTGAACCATTCACTCCATGCCACAGGCCAGAAATGGATAGAGCTGGGCATGGATGAGGTTCTTGCTTCTATGAGCACAGTTCAAGCCAGCCAGGTATCTACAAGAGGTCTTCATCTGTAAAGGGATAGATAACAGCAGCAGGCTTTCCTCACCTTCCATCACTTAAAGACAGCCTTCCATTAAAAAATGGTGTCCTTCCTGTCACTACCTGGAAGTTGAAGCCAGCTGCCTGGAGATGCCATGTGCTCTGTCCTCCCACTAATCTCCCCCTTTTCAGGCTGTTTACCAGGGAGAAAAACACCATCCCAGTTCTCTTTCTCTTTCTGTTCTTCTGCTTCCCCCCCCCCCCCCCCCCCCCCACCAGGAAACACGGGGGTCTTGGTGTGCTGGAACCAGCCATTAACCAGCAGCCAACATCTCCAGCTATTGTAAATATATTAACTCAAGGCCTTTCCCTGCATTTATTAGGCTCAAGAACAACATCTGGAAACAGATGTTTTCTGAGCAAAGAGAGGAGGAAGGAGTGTAACAAAACAAGGGGCTGGGAAGGACTCTTGCAAGTGGAAGTACATGGTCTGCAGACCATCCCTGTGCAAAATGCTGCTCAGATGGAGCACTGCAAGGGGCTGAGGCAAGCACAGCCACATCCCTCCAAGGCAAGGCAGCGAGAGTGGAGCATCTTGGGGGGGCTGCCTGACAGAAACAGCAATGGGGGAATAGAAAAACTCACAGCAGCTTTCAGGGCCCTTATGAGGAAAGGTCAGAACACACACAAATGGGACACTGGGGGTTTAGGGGTTTTTCCTCTCCTGGTCCTGGCCCTTCCCAGTCCTCAGCTGCTCTATATCCCAGAGGCTGGCAGGCTTGTAGTGGGACAATGTCACCTCCATAAGTTTGGCAGCAGCTGCCATTGGGCTCTTAGTGTAGGTAAGGTCTAGGGCTCCCACAGTATCCTGTCTGTCCCAAGCAGCCTGCTCTCAAAAGGCAAGCAGAGTGGAAACCTCCCATGCCAGGGACTTGGAAGGACCAAGGGGTCCTGCTGTGAAGTGGAGTCTTGATGTCATGGCTCAAATTTAGACAATATTTAGGAAATTACACAGTATTAACTAGGGACAAAAAGCAAGCATGCACATGCATACTTAAAAATATATCTCATGGCAGTATTGTGAAACTCCATTCTCAACTAGATACACTTTGGCTTAGGTACCAGAGATGCCTAAGGTACAAAAGAGGTCTGAGATCAAAGCTTCTCTGCAGTTCTTTTGTGGGAAATGCAGTTTTACACATACACATACCCTCTCTTTGTATTAAAATAAAACTAAAGCCAACAAACAACTCCAAAAACTAAAACAGAAAAAAACCCCAAAACCCCTAAGTATTTTGTCATCTTTAACCTCAGGTTCACAATGGGTATCTCCACACCCTTGTCTCTCTAAGATGCAGTTACACATACTTTGCAAGTAAGGTCAGGAATATTGAGTATTACCTACCTAATTTGGTATTTGTTTATAGGAAGCATTAAGTGGCCTATGGAGCAGAACAATTCCCGCCCGAGGAGCTGCTCTAACCCATTGTGGAGTTATAGAATAAAGACACATTTGATCCTTTGGGAAAAGGGTTATGAAAATACATGGAAAAACTATACTGTCCATGCATAGTAATATCATGGCTGTTTTCAATCACTCGGTCTCCTACAAAACAAAGGGGCTCACTGCACAATATGAACTCCTAGCACTGGTAGCAGCAAAGGAAGTAAGCAAGAAGCAAAGTTAGTAGTATCTGGTTAGGCTTTTATATTTTCATAACCCTAAAATGCCTGAGCTCGTTGTTGCCTCCCTCCCAACAAAGCCAAAGTGGCTTTGTGCAGCTGCAGTGCTGGGAACCTGTCCCCAGAGCTGGGTGAGAACACTCAGGCAGAGCTGAGCCACGTCCAGGGTGGGAGCCTGGCCACCAGCAGCTCCCGCAGAGGCTGTGTCAGAGCT